TTCTAATGTGTATGCATACATATATATAATAAGTAGATGCATATATCTGTATATATTATTATGGTGTACATTGTACATTTGTTCATACTAAACAGAATAAAAAATAATAAAAACAAAAATACAAATAAAATAAAAGAAAAACGGCAGTCACCCAACAGCCTCAGCTGTATTTACTGCCGCTTTATTGTTTTGTGTTTCTCTGCTCGGGTAGCTTATTTTATTTTATTTTATTTTATTTTATTTTATTTTATTTTATTTTATTTTATTTTATTTTATTTTATNTATTTTATTTTATTTTATTCTATTTTATTTTATTTTATTTTATTTTATTTTATTTTATTTTATTTTATTTCCTTGTTTTGTATCTGTTGCTTCCTTCGGATCTTTTGTGTCTGCCTTCGCCGTTTATTTTTATTTTTTTGTTTCTGCTGTTGCTTCTGTTGTTTTGTGTTTTTTTATCGTTTCTTTGTTTGTTTTTCTGTGTTTTGTGTTGTTGTAGTTGTTTATATCTTTATTTCGTTTGTTTCTTTCTCTTCTTTATTTTGCTTCCTTTTTTTTTTTTTGTTTTTGTTGTTTTTTGTTTCTGCTGTTTATGTTGCTGTGACAGCTGCGGCGCCTGAATCCCCCAAATTCGTCTTCATTTATTTTCACTATTTATTTATTTATTTATTTATTATTTATTGTTTATTTATTTATTTCTCTCTCGAGTTGCTGAGTGGGTTGTATGCTATACACCCCGGCTGCATGGGGTGTACGTACACCTGAGGCCCCCTCCGGAGCAGCAGCAACTGCAGCAACTGCAGCAGCTGCAGCAGATGTTTTGTTGCTGTTTCAGCTGTATGTACACCTCGCGCGTGTGCTGTCTGTACACCCCATGCGGTGCTGATCGTATGCAAGCACAGACGAAAAAAGAAAAGAAATTAATTAATTGTAAAACAAAATAAAGCCTGAGTCAGAGGCAAAACGCCAACAAAAAGGAACCCTAAACCCCAAACCCTAAACCCTAAACCCTAAACCCTAGTAATAGTCTTGAAAAGAAATAACTCGGTGAAGGAGGAACGGCCTGAATAGCAGCAACAAACAAACGCATATTTAGATGATAGACTGGGCGACAGAGAGAGAAAGAGGGAGGGTTTACAAGGGTTTAGGGTTTAGGGTTTAGGGTTTAGGGTTTATATGATTGCCTGAAGTTTTCGTTCTCCACGTCTATGAAGGACTCGTCAGGCCCGTGACGGGTATTCGACGTCACCGACAAACCTGCGCACAAACCCTAAACCCTAAACCCTAAACCCTAAACCCTAAACCCTAAACCCTAAACCCTAAACTCTAAACCCTAAACCCTAAACCCTAAACACTAAGGTATGAAGAAGCGTTTTCACTAGGAGGTAATGTTTATGAGTGTAAGATAAATCAGAGACATCAGCTATACCCACCGATACAATCAAGGGTTTAGGGTTTAGGGTTTAGGGTTTAGGGTTCTGTCTCTCATACCGACTCCACTTAAGGGTTTCCATATGCTTGTGTGTTATAAATAAAGTCTAGGGTTTAGGGTTTAGGGTTTAGGGTTTAGGGTTTGCGTACTGATCCACTTAAGCTTCGAGTTCCACCGCCCCCCCTTGAGGTGCGTCAGCTGCAGCACAGCAGTATGCAGGGGGCCGGGGCCCCCGCCCCCCGGCGGCAGCAGCAGGGGGCCCCTCTCCCGCTCATAAGCATCGTGGTGGTCGCTGCTGCTTAGAGGGGGGCCCCCAAGGGCCCCAGGGGCCCCAGGGGCCCCGGGGGCCTCAGGGGCCCTGGGGCCCCCTGCAGCAGTAGGTCCTCTCCTTGGGTGCGCTGTTCTCGCGTTTGCTGCTGCTGCACCCCCAGCAGCAGAAGCAGCAGCAGCAGCAGCAGCAGAAGCAACTGGCTGCGTAGCTTTTCCTGGGTATTCTAGCGTTACAGTATTCGCAGCAGAGTCGAAGACAAAGGAACCCACAACCACCTGCTCAGGTAGGGGGGCCCCCAACAGAGCGGGGGCCCTGCTGGGTGCGAACGCCGCCTTGTAGCAGTCACTCTAAACCACCACACACAACAATAAACCCTAAACCCTAAACCCTAAACCCTAAACCCTAAACCCTGAACCCTGAAACAACTTGGAATAGATAATACCTACCCACCAAACCCCTAAACCCTAAACCCTAAACCCTAAACCCTAAACCCTAAACCGTCGAGCCGTACTGTTTTTCCCTCTAGACGGGCCTGTACGACTTTGAGTGCCGCCACAGCCAGCTGTTTGTCTGCTTCTGACCTGCACAGAGAAACCCAAAAGTAAACAAAAAAAAAAACAAATTCAGGTGTATATACACCCCAAAACCCTCCTCATCGATGCTGCATACAGTCGTAGAGAAAGCTAACAATTACACCGTCTGGCACTGGCAGCTGCTGCTGCAGCAAAAGCAGCAGCAACAGAAAAACCTAAAGAAGAAGCAGCAGCAGCAGCCCCGCCACCACCACCACAACCAACGACAAAAACAACAAAACAAAAACAGCATCATTTGCAGCAGCAACACCCGCATCAGCAGCACTACCAGCACGAACAGCAGCAGCAGCAACAGCAGCAGCAGCAGCAGCAGCAGCAGCAGCAACCGTCGTGTGTATACACCTGAGTACGAGTACTTTGTTGTTGGGTAGGAATCGAAGATAGCGATAGTAAGTAACAGCTATAACGGGGGAGTTCGCCGCTAAATTATTAATTAATTCTTGGCTTATGGGGGCCCCCGTTGGCTGCTGCAGCTGCTGCTGCAGCTGCTGCTGCAGCTGCTGCAGCGTCCTGCGGCGGCGGTCGTCGAGGTGTATATTCCCCATATCACGCACACGACGCAGATACACACATTTACTTATATATATACCATCAAGACGAACGCGGGGGGCCTCAAAGAACACCCTAAATACACAAACAAATTATATTTATATTTATCTATTTATACTCGTAAAATAATATAAAACTTGAATAAAATGAAAACAAAAGAAAAAGAAATAAAAAAACAAAAAAAAACAAAAAAATAATAAAACAAAAAAAAAAGAAAAAACGGAGCAGAGATAAAGAAGTGGCGTTCGTACCGTTCCCCCAAAAACAGCAAAAACAGAAATATATCCAGCAAGAACAAAACAGAAATAATAAAACAAAAACAAAGAAACAATAAAACAAAAAAAGAAATAATAAAAAGAAAGAAAGAAGAGA